TGGGTTGGAAGGCACCTTAAAGATCATCTAGTTCCAAACCCCTGCCATGGGCAGGGACACCTTCTTCTAGATCAGGTTGCTCAAAGCCCTATCCAGCCTGGCCTTGAACACTGCCAGGGATGGGGCAGCCACAACTCCTCTAGTCAACTTGTTCCAGTGTCTCACCACCCGCACAATAAAGACTTTCTTCCTAATATCTAATCTAAACCTACCCTCTTTCAGTTTAAAGTCATTCCCCCTTGTCCTGTCACTACATGCCGTTTGCCTTTTAAACCACGACAAGTAGAATAAAAACTCTTTTGGAAAGATTTCACTGTTTATTAGAGGAGTCATTAATCAGTCTGGAGATAATGGACTCAATGAGATTCTCAAATGCCACATGATAGCTGGAGTTTCCAGCAGCTGGGTAGAGCTGAGCAGCTCTTTTATTTTCTCTAGGGATTAGACTCTTCTTATCCCATTTCCTAGCCAATGAGCTTTTACTTTTCAGTTAAACTGGGTTCAGTTATAAAATCAAGTGTCTGCCAGAAGTCTTGTGTGTACCCTGGAGAGTTCCAGAACTGCTGCCAATTACAGCAAAATGCTCCTGATCAGATACAGGTTTAGGGGGAGCTGTTTACTTTTCTGACTTAGACCCACTGGAATAATTAGTTTGTGAATAAAATTAAGGGCAAAGTTAACACTCTTTGTAATAGGAACCTATCCCACTTCAGTAACTGAATGTTTTTCGAAGCAACCGTTGTGTATTTCTTTTGCAAATTTTCATGTTACTGTCTCTAGGAGGGTAGACACTGTTGATCAGTATAAGGACATCAGCAACTATTGTTGGTGTGTGTTAAGTACATCAGCAACTATTGTTGGTGTGTATTAAGTACATCATCTGCTTTTGCTCTGGAATGCTGCTTTAAGAAAGTGTTTCCTTCCTAAATGAGTCAGTTGAACTGATTTAAGTTCCTATAGCATCAATTGGTTTATTTAATGTTTTTTTTTCCCAAATGTCCTTGCTAGTTTTTAGCTCTGACTAAAATGGGCTATGGCTTGTACATCATGGAGGTCTCAATTCTTGAACGAGTAACAGAGGAATCCCCCTAAAAGGCAAATATGCCTCTTTTCTCTCCCCCAAATATACCTTTAACCCCACATACATAGAAAATTGCAGCACCCCCTTTATGTGTTCCCACCTGCTTGTTTTTGTGGCAGGTGGGATCTGCTCTGCTTGAGTGTAGTCAATGGAGAGGCTACAGAGCTTGAAGCCTCAGCAGGTTTAGCATGGGAGGAGACAAGTATGTCTAGTCCGTATGTCCCAGCATTGGCCATGGATTCAGTCACTACTCTTTGCTGCTCCTGTTCCAGTATAAGAATTCTGCGCAGATCCCAGATGGCATGAATTACTAGCTAGTGTGAATGACTAAAGTACTGCTAAATTTTTGAAGGGGCCAAAGTAGTCCATAAGCTTAGGTAGTAAAATAGTAGTACATGCTGAGAACCTTGTATCAGAAGCAGACAGAAATTTGACCTTATGTGGTGGGCTGACCCTGACTGGACACCAGCTGCCGACCAAAGCTGCTCCATCACTCCCCTCCTCTACTGGACAGGGGGAAGAGAATATAATGAAAGCCTCATGGTTTGAGATAAGAACAGGGAGAGATACCTCACCAGTTATCATCACAGGCAAAATAGACTCAACTTGGGAAATAAGTTCATTGCCAATCAAATCAGAGTAGGATAAGGACAAATAAAACAAAACCTTAGAAACACCTTCTCCCACTCTCCCTTCTTCCCAGGCCTAACTTTACGCCCAATGCTCTCTACCTGCCTCCCCCCAAGCTGTGCATGGGGACAGGGAATGCGGGACTGTGGTCAGTTGATCACACGTCTCTGCTACTTCTTCCTGCACAGCGAAGGACTCCTCACACTCTTGCCCTACTCCAGTGTTTGGTCCCTTTGACAGGAGAGTTTTCCATGAACTTCTCCAATGTGAGACCTTCCCACAGGCTGCCGTTCTTTATGAACTGCTCCAGTGTGAGACCCTTTCACCGGGTGCAGTCCTTCAGGAACAGACTGCTCCAGTGTGGGTCCCTTCCACAGGGTGCAGCCCTTCAGGAACAGACTGCTCCAGCATGGGTCTCTTCCGTAGGTGCAGTGCTTCAGGAACCGAGTGCTCCAGTGTGAGTCCCCTATGGGGTCACAAGTCCTGCAGCAAACCTGCTCCAGTGTAGGCTGCTGTCTCCATGGGGCCACAGGTCCTGCAAGGAGCTTGGTCCAGCACGGGCTTCCCATGGCTTCACAGCTTCCTTCAGGCATCTCCCTGCTCCGGCATGGGTTCCTGTATGAGCTGCAGGTAAAGATCTGCCCCACTGTGACCCTCCATGTGCAGCAGGGGCACAGCCTGCCTCCGCACAGGCTGCACCACAGGCTGCAGGGGAATCTGATCTGCTACTTGGAGCACGTCCTCCACTCCTGCACTGACCTTGGAGTCTGCAGAGCTGTTGATCTCACGTATTTTCACTACTCTCACTGGCTAAAGTTGCACACGTTCCCCTCACCTTTATTAACTGTGTTATCCCAGAGGTACTGCCACCACTGGTGATGGGCTCAGCCTTGGCCAGTGTTTGGTCTGTCTTGGAGCTGACTGTCACTGGCTTTATTGGACAGAGGAAAAGCTTCTAGCAGCTTCTCACAGAAGACACCCCTGTAGCCTCCCTGCTACCAAAACCTTGCCATGCAAACCCAATATTTGCTACAGTGCTGCTGCAAACAGCTGAAACCATACTGACCACAGAAGATCTTTACTGGCTTATTTTAAGGTCATCTGAAAGTTTGTTGTGCATTACAAACATGTTTCTTCATCTTAACATTCACCATCTCCAGCACCATTAAGTCAGTCTAGGTATAGCTTGTTCTGCTGGTAGGTAAAATCTGAAATAAGCTTTGAGACAAAAATCCTACCCAAATGTTGCAAATCTTCCCCCTTGCAATGCAGTCTTGCATTTTGTTACAGCCTTCCACTGCTAGTGAAGCAAATTAGGTACTTGAGTGCAGACTCAGACAATATTTGAATATTCCCCCAAGCTCTGGTGTATGTATAAGATCTGTAAACTACTTACTACTTTGTGTGGTATTACTGGAATCACTGTAAATGCCTAAAATTCTAAAGAAAATTTGTCAATGGTGTTTTAAATGTCTAAACTTTTGAAAAGCTCTAGATAAGGTTAATGATATTTGTTTATAGTGCTTCATCTGACCATCTTTTTTTTTTTTGTAATTTGTAATGAATTCAATTGAAAATGGAGGTGGAAATGTAATAACAAAAAGAAGGACTGTGGCATCTCTTATGCAGGCAAAACCTAGCAGGTAGTAAAAATATTTTAAAGATTGAGAGAAAATTTCCATCCTACTTCCCACCTGACTGTTCAGGTGTGTTTGGGTAAGCTTTGGAGTGTGTTTGGGTAAGCTTTGGATTTTATCTCAAAACTCATTCTAATATGAATACATGCCCATGGATACCTTTTGCCATTGCTAAATATGATATGTTCCATTCTGCACCTAATTGAGCAGGGAATACATAAGTAGCTTGATACAGATACATATCTGTCAAGGGTTATTTCATCCACTGATAACTCGGTCTCTTTCTGGCACTTTATTTATTTTCCATTTTAAAATAAAGACTAGAAAGACATTTGAAAGTGATAGGAAACAGTTTCATTAGCTGTCTGAGATTTCAGATAGGAATTCCCCAAGCACTGTGCAACTTCCTACACATCTAACAAGTGCTGTTCATTATAATTATCCTGTTAGAATGAGATACCAGCCCTGATGAGAAGCCGTATCATGGAAAAAGCCTTTTACTCCAATGTTTTATTAGATTCCAATTGGTATTTTACAAAACAGCTAAACAAGCTGGCTACAACAATCTCCTGGAGCAGCTTTAAAAGATATGGCTTCTTTAATGTGTCCCAGCTTTATATATTACTAAGGCTTTATTTACATGGCTTGGATGACCTGGTTGAATCATCTGCAATGGTAGAACAAAACAGTGAAGTCATTTCTTCTACAAATTGCAGTGATACATGCCGGTACAGATTCTGCTGACTGCTTTGAGTAAATGTGCTGTTCGTCTGGGCAGATATTGTCGATTTTAGGGCCAGATGACTGAGGTGGTCAACTATGTTTGGCATTGAAATGGTGTTAGATTTCACCACACTTGCTGTGTATGTAATGTTTTAATAATTCCTCAAAATGCCCCGTGGAAACTGGGGGGCCTAGCACTGGATGGGAAATCTCACTATTGTTTCATCCCATTACAAGTCCTGTGTTCAAGTGACTTTTTCTTTGAGTTTCCTTATGAATTTTGAAGTAATTTCAGAATAATTATTTTTAATTATTCGTATTAGTATTAAGTGGACTTTCATGATCTGTAGTAACAGAAGGCTGTGTCACTCTCAGTGAAAGAAAACATAATGAGTACTGCTACCACAAGTTATATGTTGAGTATTTGAAATAAACTCAAAAATTTGCTTCATGGTTTGCCCCATGTAGTGGATTCAAGTAAATGAGGAAGTTTTGACTTTTAAACTTACGTAGCGTTGGTGTAAATGTGCAAAAAAATACTGTCATTAACAGCTGCCTTTTAGCTTATATTTGGAATAATCAGTTCATAGCCAATGCAGTACATTAGTTTCACATCTCATGGACTTACTATTCCTTCAGTGTCAGTTCCTGAAGTCAGCATAGATCCAAATGAGTTTGATTTTCTTGACATAAAGCTAAACTTGAGGTTGGAATGGGAGGTTTTGGGAAACACAAAGTAGATGTTGCCACCTGTAGATGGTCTGTCTGGGCTAGCAAATAAGCTCTTTTGTACCCAGGCATGGACTTGATAAGGGACATTATTTCAGCCCTGAGTGCCATTAGGCCCTGGAGTTTATTTATCTATGGATGTTTTGGGATGACCAAAAAATTTTGTCAGGTTTATTACATTTCATTTCTATTATTTGCAGGGGAATGTGACATTTTCTTGCTCAGAACCACAAATTGTTCCTATCACGTTTCTCAGCACCAGTCAAAGCTACTTGCTACTACCTGGCACTCCTCAAATTGACGGTTTGTCAGTCAGCTTCCAGTTTCGAACATGGAATAAAGATGGCTTACTTCTGTACACTGAATTGTCTGAAAATTCAGGACCTCTCTTGGTTTACCTCCATGGTGGGAGATTGACACTACTTATTCAGAAGGAGACAGAGAACCCAGTGGAAATCAGTGAAGGTACTTATTTTTTGATTACTCTCATCTGTCTCTCTTTTAAATGCAAAGGTCCAACCCCACAGGATGAAAGAATGATGAAATAAGGAAGCACCCAATATTCCTTTCTCTTTTCAAATTTTCTCTTGCTTTCCAGTGGTAGAACCACTCTGTGCAGCTTGAGGTAGATCTAAGCATGGAAAATTGGCATCCTGAGATCTCCAGAGTCAGTGTACCTGACAGTTAGCTCAGCCTCTATGTTCTTAAAGAGACACATCGGATTTTCTTCGGTCAGGTCACATGAAGACCTTGCTGTCTCCTGTCCTGAGATTGTGCTGAAGTCAGCTGGGAGCCAGCTCAGCTGCTGCACCATTCTCCAGTACAAGTTAAGGCAGATTCAGGACTGAATTTCTTCCTCTGACTGCAGTTTTACACTCTCCATTTATGCTATGCTCAGAAGTGTGACTGACCATGGGCTTCCTCTCGTCATGCTTCCTCAATTGGTCTCCTTAGCCAGTTTGCACATTGCTTTGTGCAGTGCAGGTGGTGGGATACAAGACGGTGAAATGGGGTTGCCTGTCTGACTTAAAATTCAAAGGAAATTGTTTGTAACCACTTACCAGAACAGCTATGCACTGTCTCCCAGAGACACCAGGGAAATGATCTCAGACTGTACAGCAGAGGCAGGACCAGAGTGGCCCAGCTGTCATTGCAGTGTGACCTATATAAGCCATGCTGACATCCCAAAACGAAATGGTCTTAGCCCAGGGATTCTGCACATCCCTTCCTGCTATGCAACCATGATGGGTGGGAGACTGGGAAATTAATTTTCTGCATATGTTGAATACCCATTTTCCAAAGGTGGATGAGTAAAAGACTGATGGAACTCAGATGAAACTAAATAATAGCAGTATTTTCTAAATGAGCAACTGTTTAAAAATATGTAATTTTAGAATATTCCCAGTACCAACTAAAAGAAGGCAGATGTGTCTATTAAAAGAAGCAGAGGTAAAACCTGACAGAGTTGTCAAAGCAGAGCTGTTCTGTGTGCATGTTTCATTTCTCTTTATGATAGAAAATGAGGCAGCCCTGCATCTATCCTTATTTGTGTAGCTTACTACAGCCTTAGCTTCCTGCAACTGAATGCTGAAAACTCAGTTTCCAGCTTCTATTGCTGTCCTAATGAAATTGTTGACAAAGCTGAGACAATGTCAATATTTGGATGGGTGTATTCATTTTTATGTATTTCTGAAATCATGAATCCGAGCCCAGCCTTTGGTGCTATCCAAAACATGCTAAACGGCCTATGTACATATGAAAAATATGCAGGAATTGCAAGTGTGGTGCTCTGCAGATGTCAGGTATTGACAATAAACTCATGCTTGCTCAAGAATGGACCTATTTTTGCCCCAAATGGGACCTATTTTGTTTTGACATCTTTTCAAACTTCAGCAACATATTTCACTTCAAAATGGACTTGTTCTAGTTGAAAAATCATCCAGTTTTGCTGGGAAGCCAGGCTCTTATTCTGTGGAAATTGTGAATGCATTAACAGCCATTACTGTCGAAATTGTCTCATTTTCAAGTTCATAATGAAATAGCGTTTCATACATGTAAAACCCACTTTTTTTTTAAATTTTGTTTTGAACTGTTCTCACACCTCTTTGTGTCTCTAAGCGGTCATTTGTTTCTTCTGAAGGCTACATTAACGAAAAATGTTCCATTAGGGAGGGGAGTAAATACTAGTTGTCTGTGCCTGATCTCAGTGACTCCAACCTGACGGTAGCATATTTTGGACTGTAATTAGGTTACTTTTGATCTGCACCACAGTATGTGAGCTCAGAAGCTTGTCCACTGATTTTCATGGCTGTCAGAACAGAGAATGAGGAGTTTCTTTGCAGGCATGAGATGCAACACTGATTTTCAGAATAAGGAAACAAAAAGGTTATTTCCCACTTCGCACAAGTGTCTAGCAGAGAAAGAGGCTACCCAAGTTCCATAATCTCTCATGTACATTGTTAAATTCCTGGTCAGAGCACCAATCCCAGCTCTCACAAGACCCATGTCAAAATCCAATATAGAAAGGCTTTGGTACATCTGTCAGTAAGACTGTTTGCTAACTTAGCACTCAAGGTTTTGAGAAAGACAAATCCTACTGATACCCACGGGAATTTGTCACCTTTCATATTAGAGCCTGACATGGGGTATGGCTATCTCACTGACTCTAATCCTCTGCAATCTCAGGCATATGTTTAGTACCAGAAACATAGCAGAGATCTTCTCTGTGCAATTCTGTGAGTTGTAAGTGTGTCCCAGCAGACTGTAGACATAAACACCCACAAAATGGTAATAATGTGCTACCAGAAAGATGAAGGGCCTGGCTAGCTTGATGCAGTACCAGAAGCAGGTTAGATTAAAATGTGAAGTGACCCACTTAAATACTCTCAAAAGCTTTCCCTTTCCTGGGCCTTTCCTTCCATGCCAGTTTGTTTCCAGAGCTAATGAGTTCCTTTCAGCTGCCAGTTCTCCCTTTTTGGGGAGGTCAAATGCACGCTTGTGGTCACAAGTTGCAAGCAAAAGGAGGTTTGAAAAACAGAGTTATCTCCTGCACCTCTTTTTTCACTCTTAGTACTTGTTTTTTACCAGGCACCAATCTCCACGATGGGCTTTGGCATCCTGTTAATATCAATGCCAGAAGACATCGCATTACCCTGACACTGGATAACAATGCTGCCACTGCTAGCCATGCAACCACTGCCTCAAGGATCTACTCTGGGAACAGCTACTATTTTGGAGGTAGGTTGTTTCAGACAGGTGCAGGACAGGTTTTCATGATGCAGATCCTCAGGTGCCTCACCATTGAGGTCTTCCCAGGTGAACTCTGTTTGCAGCTAAAAGCAAATGTTGTAATACTGATCTTAGAACCTCTATGGAGCTGCAGGGCATACAGCACTGTGGGAAGATAGAAAGGTCTTGGTCAGCCCTGACAGAGAGAGAATGAACAGACTGCTAACAAAGCTGTAAAAGTGGACTACTGGTAGTGGTAGCCAGTGGGTACCTACATCTAGCTGGCAAAACATACAAAAGTTACATTAGCTGTATTAGCCACGAGTGGTTTTTTCTAGTTAAAAGTCTTGAGGGCTGGTAGTATTATTATATTCCTGTAGATATTGCTGTCCTGATCAGGCTCAGTGACTTTAAACTTCTGAGCTTATTGACATACGACTCAGATCTACAAAGGTATTTAGGTACTATGCTCTCATGGAGATGAATGTAGATACAGCTCAATTTTGAAAATTGAAGGAACAGTCTTGAAAAATACTACCTTCTGCTTTTTGCAGTGCAAGCATTAATTTAGATAAAGGGAGTACCATCAAATGTCTTTTTATCTAATAGATTTCTGTGTAGCACTTACCATAGTGAGGCTCTGGTCTCAATGAGCCCTCTGGATACAGCGCTAAGTGAGGATGCACAGGAGGCTTTGAATCTCAGAGCTGGCCAAATGCTGAAGAATCTCAGATACAAGTGGTTTTCCTGCTTACTGTCCACAGAATTTCATCCTTTTACTGTGTACATAATAATAATACATAGTTTCTGTGCAGCAGAATTTAACCCATAATGATTATACAGTTTGCACAGGGTTTTTTTATGGGATTCAGTTGCTATCAACTGTGGAGTTTAAAGACAACAGAAAAAAACCCACATTTTGATTTTGATTAGCACACATGAAACTTCATACTCTGATATTTTCAGTGGCTGGATGCTCTCTTTTTTCCCTTTCTTTTTCTTTCTTTCTTATGGAAGGCTTCATAACACAGAAGGCTGTGTAGCACAAGGAATGCAAGCACTTGGAATAATTAGTCTCTGAGTTCTTGCATCAGGAAATCCCAGCAGAAATAGATGAACATCCCAATATTATTCTGTCTCTTCTCTTTTTCCCACAGGGTGCCCTGACAATTTCACCGATTCCCAATGTTTAAATCCCATTACTGCTTTTCAAGGCTGTATGAGGCTCATCTTTATTGATAACCAGCCCAAGGACCTCATTTTAGTTCAGCAAGGATCCCTAGGGAATTTTAGTGATTTGCACATTGATCTGTGTGGCATCAAAGACAGGTAATTATTGTTTCCTCTTTCTTGTATTTGTTACTTTTTTCAACGTAGTGGTTTATAAATACAGGTTGCATTAAGTGAAATTTCTCATCTGCCAACATTACGGATATTAGGCATAATAGAGCTACTAATAGAAAATATTACAGCAAAGATAGGAGGACTGGAGGGGAAATGGTTTCAATTACATGAGGCTCTCTTCAGATTGACTTGTAGGAAATAGAGTATGCAAATTCAATCAAACTACAGATTGGTGAAAGGATTAAATTTTATGCATAAACACCATCTAATTGCTTTGAAGTTTTAGAGGAAATGAAAGAGAAGGAAAAATTATTTGATTCATCAGAACATGTCATCCCCTTAATATATTAGCTGTTTATGCTTAGAAGATCATTTACAATTTTTCTTGTTAGCTATTACAGCACAGCACGTTTATAATGATGCTATGGTACAACTCATGCGACATACACCCATTCAGTAGGACAATATAATGATGAAATGGCTGTATCTACCAGAGACACATTTCAGTTTAAATACTGATCTGAATCCCTCCTAAGCTAAAACCTGACAGGAAACCCAGATTTTCTCATAAAGACTAGAGAGGAAATAACCATTTTTTTTAAGTATTTCACAATTTCTCCTTTGCTTCCTATGGACTTTTAGTGTCTAAGTATTTCTGAATTATTTCAGCAAATGTTTACTTTGAAGTTAGTACATGGAATAATAGGTTCTAATATTGGTTTTGGATTGGGTTTTGGGGTGTGGGGGTTGTTTGTTTGTTTGTTGTTTTTAAATCTAGCTAAATTCTGAAAATGGAATTGCTGGAAATTTCACGTGCTTCAGATACTTAAGGGAGTTGTAAGGGTATTTTGGAAATGCATTAGTTGCCTGGAGAAGAGGAACTGAAGGCCATTCTCCATTATTTACTGTAGGAGGGTCAGCTGGCTGGCACTGCAATCTTTTGAAAAGTGGGCAAACCCCCTGTTATCTGAGACCTTTGTGCTCATTTTTGTATGTTCGTGTTTGTTAGCTTGTACGGAGAAAATGCCTACTCTGCTGATCAAAAATTTTTCCATGTTTAATGATGACTGAATTCAGGGGGATATGAATTTCACAGTTGGTATGCCTCAGATGGTAGACAGAATTGATAGATGTAGCTGGTTTAATGAAAGGAAGTAAAATGTAAACTTTCCTGAGAATTAAGAGAAAGAATTCTGCTGTTTTCTTGGAAAAAGAGATTCTTTAAGATCAAGTGGGCCATTCAAAGGCAACTTGTATATTTGTGTATTGAAACAGAAGGGAACTTCTCTGGTATGATGCAGAGGTTCTGTAGGATGTCTCCAGTGCTTATATTGTCCAAGCTACAGTATAAATCTGTGGTACTACAGCAGGTGTCTTTCTCATCTTCAGTATCCCAAGGACAAAAAGCATCAGGCTGTGATCACAGCATACAAACATAATAAGAATGGTGGCACTTTACATAATGATTGCCTTGAAAATATCACACATGTAAACAAGAGTTACATGTGGTCCGGTCAAGACTAAAGCACTCTCTTCCAATGCAGTTCTCTGGGCAGCCTTAAATTTGTGTGTCTGTACTATATGATCTAGGTAGATCTGCAGTAGTTACGCTTCTTAGTAGCTGGTATAGTGCTGTGTTCTAGGTTTAGTCTGAGTATAATGCTGATAACACACCAATGTTTTAGTTCTTGCTCAGTAGCGCTTTCTAGTCCAGGACTTCTCAGTTTCCCACGCTCTGCCAGTGAGGAGGGGCACAAGAAACCAGGAGGAAGCAGAGCCAGGAAATCTGACCCAAACTAGCCAAAGGGAATTCCATACCATAGAACATCATGCCAAGTATAGAAATTGGGGGGGCAGTTGGCTGGAGGGGCCAATTACTGCTCAGGGATGAGATGGGCATCAGTCAATAGGTGATGAGCAATTGTATTGTGCATCACTTCCTTTTTTTTTTTTTCTTTCTGTTAAGTTTTATTTCTCTCTCTCATGTGCCTTTATTATATTATTATTTTTGTTGTTGTTGTTATTACTATCTTTTATTTACATTGTTATACTGTTCTTAATTTAACCCACAGGTTTTACTTTCTTGCAATTCTCCTCCCCATCTCCCTGGGGATGGGGGGAAGTTAGCAAGCAGCTGTGTGGTAGTTTCCAGCTGGGCATAAACCACAACATATAGTAGTTATGATCATATAGCAGATGTGACCTACCTAGATAGTAGATATGACCACAAAACCAGGGTAGATTTTAAAAAAGAAAAAAAAAAGGGTTTGGCTTACACTTGCTGAAATTTATTCTCTTATGACTGCATTTGGTATATTGGTGGAGGTGCCCTGAAGGGGAAGAGAGAAGCCTGTGGTGTGGGAAAGTGTTGGTTTGAAGATCAGAAATTCCCCTTATTGCAAAAGGGCATGAACCTCACTGGCATCCTGAAGGTTGCAGCTTTCTCATTCAGTGAAACACTCAGTGCTCTCTCCCTGTCTGGCAACTCCAATGAAAGTGCTGAAGCTGTTTTGCAGGGAAAAAGGAAGGTGTTTTGTTATTTTTTTTTTTTGGGGGGGGGGGGGGGGGCGCTGGTTGGGTTTTGTTTGGGTTTTTTTTTTTATTATTATGTTATACGTTTTACATATCTGGGATGCAATCTTGAAAGAGGTTAAATTTACAGAACTGTTTTCAGGAAGTTACAAAAGTCATTTGAAAATTCACAGTGTGAAGTACTGCTAGTGTAGTACTGAGTCAAGAGTGGTCATAGCAGCAAGGGACAGGTGGAAAGAGGGGTGAAATTCGAACAAAATAAGGGAACCGCAGACAAGGGGCAAATCCTTTGTGTTATTTTGCCAACATGATAAATCCTAAGCCAGTGGATAAGGCTGGGGAAAGACTGAACAAGAAAGTAGTTGGGGAGTGTGTTCCTCTGAACCATTTTTGAAAATTTTAGGTTCTGCAAGCCTGTATTATGGTATAATTGGTTGTAACAAACTATAGATGGAAAGTTTTGGAGAACAGGAGATTTTAATTCTTCTCTAAAGACTGTATTGCTGTCTGGTCTGCATGGTGTACCCTTGAATATGTTTCCAAATCTTGTTCATATTGGTTCATTGCACGAAATGTCTGATGCTTCAAGTCACTGTAATTCAGTCAGTCATCATAGATCAACTAGTACTTTGTATCGCAGCATCTCTGGACTATGAGAAAATTGTGGTCTGGTTCTAGGTGTGCAGTATCTAGGGAGGCTGGAACTTGATGATCTTAAAGTCCTTTCCAACCCTAACCATTCTGTGATTCTATGATACTTACAACACTTATTATAAGGAGTGTTAAAACTCTGTAAAAACATCTTCCCTGAGAAATGTGATCACTCCTTAAATACAAGATTTATTGCTGAGTATTGCTGTAAAGCACGTGTTTTTGTAATTTTAATGCACGTGGGAATTGTGTAGCTTAATTAACATGTAAATGGGGCATTTGTCTTAGTTATCTAAGAAAAAAACCTCTTTTGAGGAATATGTCTCTATTTAGAAAGCAGTTTATTTCTTACAGGCTTGTAGGCCAGGCTTGTTCTAACCTGGGTTCTGAAAGCAGTGGTTAGGCAGCTCACTGCAACTTGTGCCTGCTCTTAAAAAGAGAATTAATTACTTTATTTTGAAAGACGATAAACTGGGACTACTATTGGTGCTGGCAGTATGTTTTTGAGAGAATCTAGTTGTGTAAGCATATTATATACGCAACCGTCAAACCCTCCCTCCCCCCCTAGGATTCTCTGTATAAAGTGATGAGCCTCTGTTAATTTAAATGGAGCCGTCTGAGGCAGAAAGCCTTAATATCTCACAATTTATTGTCTCTACTGTTTGAACTATATGTGTGCTCAAGTGAATTTGGCATGAATGCCTTCTGTCTCCATTTTGTTATTACCATTCTTCAGTAAGTATTTCTTAGGAAATAAATTCTCTGTCATTAGCTGAGCTATCAGAGAGTATCAGAGAGTCCATAGAAATATAGAGTGTTTTGCTGCCTTTCCATTTGGTGGCTGGGTAGACAGTGAAGATGATGATGTATTTGGAGAGATGAGAGAACTTGACCCTGTTGCTGCCCCTGCTTTGAGCAGGGGGCTTTTGCCAGAGACTTCCAGAGGCTCCTTGCAGCCTGTGACCCTGTGAATGAAGCCACTCAGCAGCTGCTCTGGTCCTGGTTGAGTGGGCAGTTCAGGATGTATCTGCAAGAACTGGGATTAACAGGTAATACACAGAAAATTTCTGTGCTTTCAGTAGGAAGTTAGGATGCTGTACAGTCTGGAGTTGAACACAAGCAATATGTCCCGATGATGGAAGAAGGTTAGTTAGCACTAATCAAGGGTACATATTCAAGGGTACACCATGCAGACCAGACAGCAATACAGTCTTTAGAGAAGAATTAAAATCTCCTGTTCTCAGAAACTTTCCATCTATAGTTTGTTACAACCAATCACTTAGTAATCACTCCTATTAAGTGATTGTTTCTAGCCCTCAGCTGCAGTGCCAGCTTCACTGATGTTCCTACTGCTGTATATGAAGGCATCTCTCATTTACCATTTCCTTGTACACTACCTACAGGTTGTCCTCAGGTGACACATCCTGTGCAAGGGGACATCCCCAATGTTTTCATATCAGAGCTATATCTGCTCCACAAGCCCTACAAAGTACCAGCTTATTTCCTTCTTCACCTCCTTCATGACAAAGCTTTTCCTGCAAATTGTTCGCAATGCCTTTTGGAACAGGACAGTAGAATCTGTAGAAGGAAGCAAATTTTATCATAGCAATGCACGTGTAGAACTCTTGGCATTATCTCCACTGCCTGCCTACTGTTAATCCAGCTAATTATTTCTTTTTCTTTTGTTTGTAGTGTGTATATTTGTTGTGGTTGTCCAAATACACAAATTGCTCAGTCTTTTTGAGGATGTTACAAAGTGCAGTGCTTACGCTGCTCCTGTTATGAAGTGTTAGTGGTCATAG